CCCCCCCCCCCCCCCCCCCCCGCCATGCTATTGCGCAAAGGGGAGGTAGGTTCTGTACGGAGGACAGCAGAGAGGCGGTAAGCTGAGCTGATTCCCCACCACGATGGGTCAGCGTCATCTCTCCCACGTGAAAAACAACCCTCTGGCCATGCGTGCGAGGCAGGCACTGTTCCCAGCGCTTTACCTGTATTAGCCGGTCCTCCTCTAATGCCCCCCACTACCCACCCTGGCCAAGGGCGCTCAGGGCCGCCAGGTTAATTAGCTGCCCCACAGGTTAAATGCCCGCACAGCGCACAGCAAAGGAGCGGAACTGTCATCTGATTCCAGAACCACTGGCTTCCAAGCCCTTTCTTCTAAGCCAGCGGTTCTCAACCTGTGGGTCGAGACCCCTTTGGCGGTCGAACGACCCTTTTACAGGGGTCGCCTAAGGCCACCCTGCATATCAGCTATTTACATGATGATTCATCACAGTAGCAACATGACAGTGATGAAGTAGCCACGAAAATAATTTTATGGTTGGGGGTCACCACAACATGAGGAGCTGTATTTCAAGGGCCAGAAGGTTGAGAACCGCTGTCAGCATTTGCATCCCGCCGTGAAAAGGGTGCGGGGCCTGTACAGTACCATTACCTACTTGTCGTTTATTCTGAAGACGCCGCCGCCGCCGCGCTTACCTCGAAGTCTGAGGGATTAAATTCATAGCCGATGTTCCAGCCCAGCATTCCGTATTTCCTTCTCTCGTTGATCAGAGCGTTGAAGAAGCATAAACTGAACAAGAGCTTTTTCCACCAGGGGCCGCAGGTGGGTTTTTCAAATATTTCTTCCGTCACCTCTCCACTGCCGTCGTGTCCAAGCGTCTTCAGTAAATTACTCTTCAGCCCCATGGGCATCTCCACGGCGATCTTAGGGCAGATGCGAGTGAGAACAGCACGTGAGGGCACGTGGGCACCAGGCCGGGGGGGAGAGGGGGCTGCTCTACCCCCGGGGAGAGAACTAGCCAAGCTCCTCATGTTCAAGCTTCACTGGCAAATCAAAACTCTTGTGTGTCCGGCCGGCGGGGCTCAGGGGTTGAGCTCCGACCTAGGAACCAGGAGGTCATGGTTCGATTCCCGGTTGGGGCACAGGCCCAGGTTGTGGGCTCCATCCCCAGTGGGGGGCGTGCAGGAGGCAGCCGGTCCATGATTCTCTCTCATCATTAATGTTTCTCTCTGTCTCTCTCCCTCTCCCTTCCTCTCTCTAAAAATCAATAAAAACATTTTTTCAAAAAACTAAAAAAAAAAAAAAAAGTTGTGTTATTCTTTTTCCATCAGAAAACTTCCGTGGCAGCACTGTACCAGGTTTCCTACTGTTCCGATTCACATCTTAGTTGTAACACTGTCATTAAAAGCGCTCTCGCGCGCTCCAGGCGCAGGGAACTGGAGCCAGACACTGGGAAACAGGAAAAGGAAGGGCTGCTGCCTTCTACACTGCACGGCAGGTCGGGGCTGTGTGGCCTCAGCAAGACAGCAGGGACCGGGTGTCCGCTCCCGGGAAAGTCACGGAACCAACAGAAGTGTGTAGTCGTCACCACTGATGTTAAAAAGGAAAACGAGCCGGCTGGCGTGGCTCGGTGGTTGAGCGTCGACCTATGAACCAGGAGGTCACGGTTCGATTCCCGGTCAGGGCACAGGCCCGGGTTGCGGGCTCGATCCCCAGCAGGGGGCGCACAGGAGGCATGATTCCCGGTCCATGATTCTCTCTCATCACTGATGTTTCTATCGCTCTGTCCCTCTATATAGACACCATAATTTGGTCTTTTCTTAGAAGTGGGTCACCTGATTAAACTGTATGGAACTTTAAGACTCTCTATACAGTGGGGCCTTGACTTACAAGTTTAATTCGTTCTGTGACGGACCTCATAACTCAACTTACTCGTATGTCAAATCAAAAGTGAACGAGTGAGACACGTGATGCTGGGCTGATGTTGTGGCGTTCACTGTGACGTTCGCTGCGCCAACTAGCGGTGGGGTATCTGAAGCTGGCTCGTAACCCGAATTTTAGCTCGCAACTCAAAGCAAAAAATCGGCCGAGAGACGGCTCGTATCTCGAAAAACTCCTTAGTCGGGACACTCGTAAGTCAAGGCCCCACTGTATATTGCGAGATTACCTTTTGTCCTGGATTAATGTCTTTCTGATGTTACCTTATAAGCAGTCTGTGAGAGTGGTCATTTCACGGAATACTTAATATTACTAATTAGATCAGAACAATCTTTCATCTCTGCCAGTTTGATGGGCTACCAAAGGCATCTCCTTGTTTTGGTCTGAATGTCTCTGACATTGAGGGGCTGAATTTTCATTTTTTCATGTATTTATTGACCTTTTGTGTCCTTTGCTCGTTTTTATGGGGTGTCAGTGTTCTTCCTTATTAGGAAAACTCCCATCTCTATCTGCATGGACAATGGGTATGAAAAACCCCATCAAGTTCTACGTAAGAATGAAAAACATTAAACATGTTTCCTTTGCTCCTGGGACTCCCAACGTGTGGCCAACTGGACACTTGTTGGACACAACTGACCAAGTCTTAGGACTTACTCAAACACAACGACGGAGATGAGTGGAAGTCACAGATGATCCATGCGTGGGCCTTTCCACTCAATAATGTACAACTGCTTCCTGCCAGGCCCTTTCTAGAGAATTAACAATGACCTGAGAGGGAGGGGAAGCAGAGGTAGGAGCAAGCCAGGGCAGCAAGGGGCAGGAAACGGCTGCACGTCCTCTGTTCTGGTTTAGAGCAAGGGGGAGCCAGGCATCTGAGCGAAGGAACACCCACACCAGTGGCTCCCCACCTTGTGTTGGCCACGCCCCACCTCAGCATCTCCAACATCCTGACGCCCGCCCTGTGACATCTAATTCTTATTCTTCAAAAAGCGAACTCCTGTTCACGTGGAGGAAGCCTCAAAGGCCGTGAACTTGGCCGAAATGAGCTTCCAAAGAACATGGCATCCACGAGAGAGAAAAATACAAGAACCAAAGGACAGCTGAAGTCCGGAGGAGGAAGAAATTACTACGAAATTGTTAAAAAATAATAATAATCTGAGGTGATAGGAAAAAATAGCAAATAAAGTTTCAAAACGTAATAGAGAACGGAAAGGCATCAATATGTCACAATATGTATTTATATACTGTATGTGAGGCCCCTAGAACCATAAGAAATGCCAAAAATTCACTGTTAATAACTCATTCTCGAATTGCCCCCCTTAAGCATCAAACTGCCCCCCTGTGGGGCGGGTGCCCCACGTTGGGAACCATGTGAAAGGAGGGATCTCGCCACCCTGTTAGCGTCTTCCCTGGTCCTCGGCCCGGGGCTGGGCACCGGGCAGAGGGTTAGCGTCCTGACGTGGCGCGCTCTTCACTCCCAGTCGGGAAAGCAGGAGGATCCACATCAAACACTGTCCGTCCGCCAACATCACAAGGTCCCACTTTTGTTCTTACCTTTAAACTCTTCTGAAGAAGGGGAACTGGCAAAGAGCTGTCCGATTCTGAGCTTAGCCACAGCCGGAACTTGGGGTCCACCGTCACGTTTGGGTTACTGAGTCTGCAACATAAAAAAATGTGTGTATTGATGTGAGAAACGTAACCAAACCAACGTGTCCTGAGAATCATAGTTATTTCGACGTTTTAAGGGAACTCAGGAATCGTTTTAATAATCAGAGATCTGGTTGACGACCCTCAGAACTTTCCCGCTGCACAAGAATTTGAACAAGACCCACGAAATCCCATTTAAAAAAACTAGTTTTTGGTCCCCTGAGTACAAAAGTGACATGTGCTCATGGCGGAAACCTGGGGGAAATGACAGATTAAGAACAAAACAGAATGTAACTTTTTGGCAAGTTTAAAATTATTACTTTTTAATTTACAAAACAAACTAAAGCAACAAAAGCAAAAAACCCCACAAAAAACAAAAACCAAACCCCAAAACCCAACAACAAAAACACCAAAAAAAAAAAAGCACACGGGTGACTTACGAGTCCACGATGGTGCAGAGCCGGGGCATGAAGGACGCGGCGAGGTGGCAGTTCTGCAGGAAGACCCACTGCCCGGCTTTGGCGAGGGCGTCCGCGATGAGGTCTTCCGCTTTCGCTGCCCGGCCTTGGCCCAGAGAAATCATGGTCACATGCTGGGTGGTTCCTTTCAACTCCTGGGCGAATTTCAGGAGCGTATTGATGACGTCCACCCCTGGGTGACAGTGCAGAGAGGTACGTGCAACGGTAAGCTCGTAGGACTCCCCCTGGAGTACAGCCTCGCATTTGTGAGTGGTGGTGGGAGAGGATGGCGGTGGGGTGGGAACCTAGGCTTTCTGGCTCATGGGGGGGATACTCCCGACCAAGGCAGCCGCTTCTGCCATCTACGCCAACATCACTGTTGCTTCCTCCTCTGTAGCTGAGGCCCAGTGTTACTTGGGATGGCTGTACACCCAGCTAAAATACTGTATTTTCCGCCTTTCTTTTTTTAAAAAAAATATATTTTATTGATTTTTTTACAGAGAGGAAGGGAGA